GTTCACCATTCGGTTCTCGTCACAAGCATACTCCGGTATGTAGTCGGCGAGGTCCCGAAACTTGTACTCAAGTTCCTTCACCGTCATGTCACCCCCTTGAGTTAGGAGAGTGTATTCCCTCACCTTCTTGTTCACCTCAAAGTCGGAGTAGTACTGGGCAAAGAACTCCCGTCGAAAGTCCTCCCAAACGGCGGTTTCACCGTACTTGCCTTTGGTCTTATCCCACCACTTGGATGCCATCCCCTCGAGCAATCTTACCGCGATTCTCAGTTTAAGATTTGGCGTGATTTGCATGTCAAGGGCTGCTTCATTCAGCCTCTTGATCCATTGTGCGGCAACCGAGATGTCCCCCATTCCATCGAACGGTTTGCACCCCAAATATCTTGCTTCCTTGATAAATTTTGAGATCCTTATAGTTGGACCTCCTTCACTTTGGCCTCCATGTGGTTCAACATGGGCTCTAGAAGCAACGTGACTCCCTCCTCTTGAAGCCATGCCCGAAGGTTGCCCCGCTCGGCGCCTTCGGCGTTGCCTCCTCTCTTCGCGCTCCCGGTGGTATTGTTGGAGCAGCGCCTCAATTCTTGCCAAGGAGCCATCTTCCTCCTCGTCACTAACATCATCATCATTATCATCCCCTTCATAAGGGGTCTCCACCGGCTCGGTTTCCGGCCTATAGGCTGAGTCCTCATAGGACCAATAAGTCTCACTCTCCGTGTCCACGTGGCTGTCGCTCACGGTCTGTTGTTGGCCTCCACGACCCCTTCCCCTTGACACCCTAGTGGACCCCCGATTGCCGCGTTCGGACCCACCCAGTGCACGGCCCGTCGGATTCCTCCTAGTGATTCTTCCAATTGGTTCCATTTCTGAAAGAAATTTAGAATGAACCATTAGACTCGCATCAAATGTCAATTGACGGATAGGTACTTAAAGACATCCTTTGGCTCAAATCGCCGTCATGCCAATTGTTAAGGATACCATCTTAACAATTAGAGACCTTGCAACTCAAGTACCAAAAGTTCTATAAGTACAAAACTTTATGCTCATGTAGGATAATTATCTAGGGTATATTGTTAATATTATCGTACATTCCGTTAGCTAGATTAGCTCATATGTGCTTATCTCCACTTTCAATACTTATCATATTAGTTCTAACGTGAATATAACTACACCCTCAAGTAGTCATGTACATTGACTTTTATGCGCGAATGAATAAAATGCCCAATGATTTTCCTTTTGAAAATATGCACATTTTATGTTGATTTGATATGTTTATTTTTAGTATTTGAAATATTAACATTTGTATGAACTTATTAAAAATAGAGTACCTAATATTTTCATCTTGAAATTAAAGAGGACTCAAAATAAAATAAATAGAATCAATTGTGTATAAAGGCTAGACCCTATTTTCCTAATTTTAAAAAAAAGTATTTTTTCTATAAGTGTTGATTTACAAAAGCGCAGCATAAGATTTACGAAAAATAGTTAAAATAGTATTTTTCTGCAAATTCAGTAGACAATACTTTAGCATGTGAAATAAAAAACAACATGTTTCATAAAAAGTTACCGGAATATTTGATTAGCCTGATAAATTGAAGATAAAGACCAAGAAACAAGCTAAGCTCAAAATAATTACATTACTAATATAAATACATTTGTAACAATTTAGTATTCAGTATAAGTTGTTTAGCACTCCCTTTGTCTAGTTAAGAAAGTCTCATCTTTGCTTCCTGGTCCTCCCAACTAAGATTATCTCGTTTCATCAATTCAATATCATTGATAAATTTACTTTTCTTGCTTTATAATATTTGTGTGGTTCAAAATCGTTCTTACTTTATTTTCATTTCATCAATTCAATACTAACCAATAATCACATAGATAAATTTACTTTTCTTGCTAAGCACATCACTTCCTCTTGTATCAATATTAGATGTACGGAGGTAGCAGTAGATAAGACAGATTTTCCTAATTAGGTCACTGATCTTTTGCAAAAATGTTTAAGAGCTAGCCCGTTTGATAACTTTTGATATCTTGCACTGGATTGTGAAATAATCAAATCAATAAGATTGGAGTTACTTTTCTGACTGAATTAATTAAAATTACTATAGAGAACAATTTTAGTTATGATCTATATATTTTTTTTCTCAAATCTATTAATAAAATATATTTTAAATATATTTTTCTATAAATCAACATGTTCAGATAATTCAGCCGCTTCAGTTAGCATTTCATCAATTTTGTATACTCAGTTTATTAAGCCAATGCAACTTTCAAATGTTAATTATCAAACGGGGTCTAAGTTTATTAAAATGTAGTTGATGGTACCATGGACTCGGACCATGGTCCAATTACGTAATTCATTCCTTAACGGAATTAACCTAATTAACAGGATCAGCTCATCAACGGAATCAGCCCATCAACGAGATCGATCAGCCCATCAATCGGGATCGATGATAAATAGCCGCTGGGCCTAATAATGAACCAAGCCCACGACAGGAAGCCACAGCCAGGCCGGGCCGGACAGCAGACCTCGAGCCTGGGCGACCGACCTCAAGCCTGGGCGGAGTTCTAGTGAGGCCAGGATATTTCTAGGGTTTACGTGGCAGGCTACTATTTAAGCATAGATATTTGGAAGCAGGTAGGACTCGTCCGGAGTTTGGAAACAAGAAGGAGAAAACTAATGCTTGACGTCCAAGGCATGAAAGGAGTTCTATTTCGAGCAAGAATATAGTTCATTAATTAGCATTTATTGTATTAGATTCCTCCTAAAATATCAACTCCTAAAGCCTATAAATATTAATGTACATATCTTGTAAAGGGGGAGCCTCTCCATACGAATACTACTGTTATTACTTTCTTTCTTACGATCAATGAATATTTGATTGCTTAAGCTCTTTTCGCTGAAATTAAATTCCATCGGTAGTGTTGACAGTTCTACTATTTCTATTTTTTGCTTGAGAAAAAAGGAAAAAGACATACACACTCAGTAACTCATAGATCATATACTCTGTAAAACTTGTACTCCGTAGCTTATTACGTAGTATACATAGTTTTTGTTAAAACAAAAAAGCAAAAATAAAAATAAAAAAAATAAAAATAAATAAAAATAAGGCTAAAGGGTCAAATAGATACATGAACTAACTTAAAGTGTTCAATTAGCCCCTGATATAAGAGGTTCTGCCCGGCCGTCGCCAATTGGGGTGGTTCCCAGTGAAATTTTTTGATGAAATTTTTGAGCATCTTTTTCATTAAGTCTAGTTTACCCATACCAAATTTCAGCTAAAAATTCAATCGGGAAGGCAGTCAAATGATTTTTTGAAGATAACTGCGCAGTTAAACAACGCAGTCCATTTCGGAAAATCATTTGACTGCCTTCCCGACTTAATTTTTAGCTGAAATTTGATATGGGTAAACTAGACTTAATGAAGAAGATGCTCAAAAAATTTCATCAACAAATTCCACCGGGAATTGCTCCAATTGACGAAGACCGGGCAGAACCTCTTATATAAGGGGCTAATTGAACACTTTAAGTTAGTTCATGTACCTATTTGACCCTTTAGCCTAAAAATAAAAAACTAAGATATACACGTTTGGGAACAAGGACGAGAACTTCTTAAAGGTTGGGAGCAAATACTTCGTATATAGATAGTAGCATTTGACGATTCCAACTAAGGGGAAATGATGATTCCGTCTGGTATTAAAACGTTTGACAAATTAAGGTACACTAATTTTAGTTTAAAGTACAAGTTTGCATTAGCTTATGATTACTACTAACACATTTTTCATACCCAAACTGTCCTTACCTTCATTCACCTTTATAAGATTGTAGAGATAGAGATATACAATAATTCAATAATTTTACACACATTACACCTAATTAAAGGAAAAAATCGAATTTCATTCACCCAGAATAATATACCTAGCTAGAACGTACATTAACAATAATAGAGATATGACAAGTTAATTAAGGAATATTAGGTCAAGCAACATCACACAAATAACAAGTCAATGAACCACTTCAACAGGTATAAATACACAAATTGGATATATGAAAGATACTAAAAAGGGACTAAACATATAGTCATATTTATGCACTTTGATTAACTGTTAGTACTATTTAAAGCAATTATTATTATTTCGTCCGGTGAAGCTAGTCGTTGGATCAATGACTCTTCATGGGTGAGACGGGGGAGATCAAGAGGAGCTTCCATGGCGCGACGGGGTTCAAGTGATGCATAACTTCTAGGCGTTTGCAAAACTCTAAGGAATATGTATTCCACAACCTTCCCCACAACCTGTTTTGCGTCCCAGGACGTGAGATTTGAGCCAACGGCATATGTTGTCGGAAGAATACATAGATAGGTGTTTGCACTTTGATTAACACATCTCATTCGTTATAAAATTTGGAGCCCCATAAAAACCGGCTATGCTCAATCGTATATTTGAGAGACGAGTATATGTTTTGATTGAAAATGGATTCAATTTTGAATTTTGTTATTTTGAGAGACGAGTATATGTTTTGATTGAAAATGGATTCAATTTTGAATTTTGTTATTGCATGCAATAGTATCCGCATTTGACGAAATGTGGCATTTCATTTGCTATAGACTTGGATATTATTAGTGCATCATGCAAGGCTTCGATTCCCATGCTTTTTTCTCATTCCTAACTTCTCTCGAGGTTTTATCTGCATCATTAAAAGGGAATGAACTAGGTTTCAAGCTTTTCCTTGGAGGTATTACTCGAACAATTTGATGTAGCTAGGAAACACTATCACTGGCACATGTTTAAATAACTTAAGGATAAATTTGGACTGGAGTGCAATATTTTTAAATCTGGGATTGAAATAAGACATCCTTAACTAAAGGAATACGTAGTAAAAACTAAAAAGCAATACGATCATTTACTAGGCTATTATATGTGATACACCTATACTACTATATAGCCATATAGGAAGTATTAATTAAGTATACATATAGAAGTTGAAAATTGCTAGATTATTTGGGCATTATATATTGTAGTCACGTTTTTTTATACTCATTTCTCACATTACTATTTACATGAGAACCAAACTACATATACGTAAGTTTGGAAGATTGGTCAACGGTCGTCTCCCGTTCGTAGTTTGGGTTCTCCAACTCAACAAAAGACCAAAACACACACTTGGCCTTGCTAACTAGTACAAAGTGAACAGCTAGGTATTTGATATACATAGCATACGAGTACTATATATTTATGAGTAGACCACATTCTAGTACTAGTATATCTTAGCATTATTTTACTAGTCCGTACTATTACACGGTATAGGAAGCATTGAAAGAGGTATCTTGATTGAGGCCGGCCGCCGCCGCCATAGTAGCCGCCACGCCACCGGGATGAGTAAAGCCTTCTTTATTCCTGGCCTCCGCGCCCACCACCGCAGCCGCGTCCTCCGCGGTCACGCTCTTGTCATCCAGAAGCTTAGTACTCGCATCCTTCCACATTCATTTAATTTATTAGTTCATAATTAAGTACAGATCCAGAAATAAAATTAATGGAGAATAATGTAGTTTCAAACAAATCCTATAACCTCCGTCCCAATGGAGTTGCCACACAAATTAGTTAATGTAATAAGACACTCACAAAGTTTATTTGGAAAATCGAAAATGAAAAATTGTCAAAGTGGGACGGACGAAGGAGTATTTAATTTCTTTTTGTAGGACTAATTAATTAACTCCATCAAGATTATACTTCACATTGAAAAAAGGACATCAAATGAACTCTACAGTAAAGGACAATGACTACCCCTATTACTTATCCGACTTTAATTAATTTAAGCGCTGATTTTGTTAGAGAAATAGGGAGTATTAAAAAACGTTTTTTCCCTTACAAAAACACCGGAAAAAAAGTGTATTACCGTGAGAACATCACCGAGCTTGGTTTTGAACTCATCCCTCGTGGTCCTAGCGTTGAGTGTGGCGGCGCGTTGAGCTTCCGCTCCTACCCCGCCAGGCAAAACCGCTCCAAGACCGGTTGCTCTGACTTCCGCCGCCTGTATAGCGGCGGCGTCACTTTCGTCCACCGGTTTGTCCCCGGCGGAGATAGCAGACGCCTCAAGGGCTTCTCCAATGGTGATTCCGTCACTCACTATACCATGCTGTGGGCCCCCTGGAGAACGCTCCTTCTCATCTTTTGCATTTTCCAATGGACGGACATATCGCCCCACAATCTTGAAGCATACCAAAATGTCAATTAATTATTGAAAGTTTGAAACGTTACAATTTAACTCCAAAATTAATTTAACTTGCTTTTTTTTATTTTTAAAGTCAAACTTGATTGATATTTGAGTATTATCATTCAAAAATCAACACAAAATATTTTAAAAGTATCTTAATCTCACAAAACGTAACACTAGAATAATTTGAATAATTAATTGATACCCTTGTCTTGAAAAGTTCGCCATCTTGATACCTTAGTGATTATATTTGTATATAATTTATAAAATTTATACTACGTATTTTATGAAAATATTTTGAAAAATAAAGGTTTTGGTATACTTTTCACCCTCAAAATAATTTTAAAAAAGGTTTTGGTATACTTTTCATATTCAAAATAATTTTGTAAATTGAAATTGATTGACAAAAAAAGTCAATTAATTGAGTTTTCACCTTTTCATAAGAGGGAAAGAACGGTTTAATTGAAAATCTTGAAAGTACTGAACATTTTGAAAAGTCAACATAACAAAAACTTGTACTATGTACTTAATATTTTTTTGAACCATTGTACTTAAAATTTAATTAAAGAAAGGAGATTTATTATAAGGCTTAATTAATTACTACAGTAGTATATTCTTACATCTGCTCCGACAGCTTCCGTAACTACACGGTTGCCGGCGATGTCAGTTTGGGAAACAGAGACGCCGCGATCTCTTACGACGTCAGTGACATCATCGGGCTTAATGCCCGCATACCGGACATTACGATCGGCGGCTGATTGCATGACGGCGGCGGGACCGCCCTTCTGGCACTGGCCGAGCGTGGTGGTCTCGGCAGACTGCATGGCGGCGGCGTCTTGGAGAGTTATGGGTTTGGAAGCCAGCTCGTCGGAGACGCTGAAAACGTCTTGATATTTGATGGGCTCTTGGAGAGCGTTCTCCGGCCTTCTTGGCTGTTGCTGGCTCATTTTTATTATTCAATTTGGAAGTGGTACGTTTGGTGATTTATGAATGAATCTGATAATCTTGTGTGACAATATTAGGTGGCGGAGAGGGGTTCTTATAGCGGCGAGCCGGCGGTAAGAGGCGGTGGCCGGTGGAGTGACAGATCATAAGGGTGGAGTCACGTTGAAAGAAACGTGTTGAGAGCACAATGCAACACCTCATCCATAAATAAATTACGCAGTACGTACTCAATTGTTCCAGCTTCTTCTACTTTGCATTGCATGCCAATCAATGATAGGCGATTCTGGAAATTTTGGCCACGGATTACGAAAATAACATCAACGGAAAATCATAAAAATAAAGTTAAATCATCCAATAATTAAACATAATTAAGATTTCATATTCGAAGTACGTAATAAGAAAAAATTGATGTGATAACTAAATAAATAAAATGAAACCTGTATCGATCGATTAAGCCAAATAATTGAATTTTCAAATCATTTTGGCAAAGAAAGAGAGAATACGATCTTTCGATTTGTAGGAATATAATATGAAAATATATGTACATTCGGTTTAAAATTTGTAAGGTACGTCTCCGATTCGTTACACGTGCACTTACGGCACCTCAATAGGGTTCAATACCTCAAACCTGGTCTTAATCTATAAATACACTTTCCACATTAACTTCTTTTTAATTACTCCGTATGATTTAAAAATGTCCCAAACCGACCTCTAATTAATTAAAAAGTACACAAATTTTCAGAAGGAATTTGTCATGCAGATCCTTAAAATGTGTCATGCACATCCTTAAAATGAGGACATGAATAATCTCATCCTTTAATTTGTCATTCTTCCAATATTAAAGGAAAAGGGTCAAAAACACCCATAAAGTTATCAACAAGGAGGATCTATACCCACAAACTTAATTTTTGTGCAAAAAGCTTTAACAAACCAGAAAATAGGGCAAAAAAGCCCTTTGACTAACGGAAACAACTTACGGAGTATTATAACATCTATACGTTAACTTGCTCACTTGGCTATTAATTATACTGGCCGTATAAATGACAATGGGAAAAAGGGAACACACTAAATTAATGTATATATCTTTATTTGAACAAATAAACACTAGAATAATGCAATGGTTTGAGATTTAAAATACTTATTTCATATAAAATCTCAATTTTATAATGTTTAATTTATATTTAGATGTTTTTACTTGGACTGTTTTCAGTCCCCGATCAAACTATACATGACTGAAACAGACCAGACTTAAATAGACCATACCAGATCAGATCAAGAAATACAGTCTAAATAAAAACATCCTTACTAGATAATGAGTACTAAATATCGTAAAATATCAAGCACTGTCAAATACTACCTCCGTCCCCAAAAACATTGTCTTATTTAAAACATTGACCAACTATATAATTTTATTAGAAATTAATTATAAGATAAAAAAAAATATGATACATAAATGTTTTATTAAAAGTACTTTCGCGAAACTACAAAATACTTCCTCCGTTCCTTTTAAATTGTAATAGTCAAGTTTTCACACTTGTGAACACACAATTTTGACCATTAATATCTTTCATTCCTTATTAGAGAAAAACTAAAAAAATCGTATTTTGAAAATTTAAAATAAGGGTCACATAAATATATTTTTTTAAAAATTAATGTATAATACATCTATAAATAAAATATAGTCAAAAGTAGCCTATGTGAATAGTACAAAAAATTCAATGTGCTAATTATAAAAGAACGGAGGTAGTATATAACTTCTTTAAGAATCCGTATTACATTAATCAAAATCATGGACCAAACTTTATGATATGACAATTTTTTTAGACGGATCTAGTACCTGAGTACCACACACATTAATTAAACAATTTTCAGACAATGTAAAGTGAATTCAAACGAGTGAATTTCTCAATTAAATATGAATAAAATATGAGCTAAATGCACATAGAATCCGGTGTTTTAGATTCTCTAAATAGGGTAGGGGCATAGGGGGCGATCGTCCCTTGCGCTGTCAAAATTTTCTATTATATATAATATTTCATAAAATATTCATACTTCAAATACATATATATGTATTCGCCCCTTTTGCAGGGATGGATTTATGGAATATTTTCATAAAATATTCATAAAAATTGCAATTCAAGAACGAGTTTTGTATTCCGATAAGATTCATGTTGTTAAACAAGACAACGATTTTTTTTATCATAAAAGAGTGGTTGTTATATTAAAATCAAGAACGCATACAAGACAACCTTCAGACAGAATTCACAGATCAAATCATGAACCCTCAGAGTAAACTTAGAGTTAGTCACCTCATACAAAGCAACCTGACTTGCTAAGTCTGAAACGGGCAAATTTAGGCCTAAAACGATCGAAACTGAAACCCTGCCTATCAAAAGAATACCAAAAATCCAAACATCCAAAGCAAACCTACTCGGATTAAAATAAAAACCAAGTACTACTAACGAGAAAATAATGTCTTTCCACAAAACTCTTCAAAAAGTAATGATAGATGTGTATCATATATTTTAAATTCTTTATCTTCAAATAATTTCATAAAATGTTATATATCCTTTTTATTTTCAGATATTTTTTATTTGATTCTTTTTTCTAGAGGACTTCAATTGTAAAATCAAAGATATTTTTCTATAGTCTAAATTAAGAATCTACTAGTAATAGATTTAAATATCGTCGTGTATGTATTGATGGAATTTGTTTTTAAAATTAAAAAATAGCCGCAGAGCCCTATTTGTGCAATTATGCTCAGGTTTAGTCTTGTTTAGGATGGTTTCCCAATTCAAAGTACAAATATTTGTGTATATTTTGTTTTGAATTTTTTATTAAACACGTAAAAAACATTAAATTATTCTAGCATTACAACAAATATAAATTGTACCATCTATAAAAACTCGAAACATTATGTTAATCTAAAATAAATATATTGTTGGGCAAGCACATATGATGATTTGGGTATCAAAATCTTCCAAGTTTTATGCATCATCACGAGCCACACTTAAAGAAATACGGAGTAATATCTAACTTAGCACCCAAACATATACGGCCTGTATAAAGCCAACCGAACACATTTAACGGATGCATGTGTTGTTAACTTACTTCCGTGAAGAAGAAGAAAAAAAAAACTTACATCCGTTAGTTAAAGGGGTTATTTAAAGACATTTGCTCAAAAATAAAGTTTGTGGTCATAGATATCCTTTAGTGTCAACTTTAGAGGTGTTTTTGCCCCTTTTTCTCAATATTAATCTCAACTATGGGTAATTCTAAAATAATCCAACTTAGACATGACATCTTTCCAAAATAGACTCGTGACCGGAATTAAAAAAATTAACAGGTCGCCTTGTCACGTGTCTCAATATGATTGGACTCTAGATATTTATCCCTTTTCCTTTTTTTCCCTTTCTTTTTCTCTTTCTTTATTTCTCTTCTCTCCTGTGCCAGTGTACGACGCCCCTTCTTCCTTCTGTAACGGAACATTTCCTCTGTTCTCCCATACTTCTAAACTTCTTCTTTTTCTTAATTTCTTTCTTGCTTTCTCTATATCTACCTCTTACATCTCACCGTCTTCCTTATTTCTAAATTTTCATCTGCCGACTTCTTCCATCTTCTTCTTTGAATTATCTAGAGAAATTCTAGATAAAGGAGCATTGGTGAGACTTTTTGACAAATTTGATCAGCTTGGCCGCCATCACCACCATCTCTGTCTCCTCTCCTTCAATTCCGTTTTCTTCTTCGCTTATAATTCTGTAGAAAAATCGTTTAATTGGGGTGTCCAAGGATTTCCACCTGATTACACTAAAATGTATGGTTCCTGTTGTTTCGTAGAATCAGCTCCGTCAATACCGATCTTTATATTTTTTGAACCATTCTTTATCCTCATCCCAGATTCCAAGATCACATGAAGGCAAGCTAGCTAGGAACGAGAGCTTTTTTGGGAAGAAATGTGTCATGCGGATTCCACACCCAATTGTGGTTCTTCATTTTCTATTTTGTTTACCGGTTTAACCGGTGGTGGGTAAAGAAGATCAATTAGAGAAGAACCCACACCAATTTCAGATTATTATAGAATTATGCATATTAGGGATTAATCTTGGAAGAACACTAATAGTTTGAATTATTTATGTCAATTTTTCTTTTAAATAACTAACCATTAACATAACACCTTGAATGTAAACAACAAATGTAACAATTTGAAAACAATGGTCTTGATATTAGTGTTCTAAAAGACGTTTTAAGCCATTCAAATTTCGAAAATCAATGATAAAAGACATGTTGACCGTCATTTATTCCCACGAAGTAGGCCAGACTACAATGGATAATTCAGATGCGGGGAATACATCTCTAATTGCCTAATTTAGATTTAAGAGTGACTTTATATAAACGTGTCCGAAGGAGGAATTGTTGTCTTACCTCCGCCTCCGGTGTGGGAAAATGATACTAGCTTTAGTAGCATCGTATCTAATCGAAGATGTGATGGGTGTTGAACCTTCAACAACGTAAAAACCACACTTCAAAACATTTCCAACTCACATACATTCTTCATTGTTTAGTTTTTAGATTGCAAGTATTTTACTCCTTATTGGACTATAAAATCTAGTTCAATCGCTTAGTTGCTAATTAAATAATATAATACTAGTAATCATTTAACAAATTTACTAGTATTTGTGTTCTTATTTTATTAATTTAATATGAATCACATAATTAAATTCACATTTTTTAACAATCACATGAATCCCTCATACATACAACGTACATACTTATTATTTTCATTAATATTATATTTACCGACCTATTTTATAGATGCATGTGTTGTATGTAGAACTTTAAGAGTTTATTTTTGTTGGAATGTAGAAGTCTAATGCTTAGACATGGTATATGTATTGTAATACTACATGTATATATTTACTTGCAACTCTATACAAATTAAAATAACTAGCAAAAAAACAAAACGTCTTTTCACTCCTTAACCCCGCATAAACTCGCCTAGACTTTAAAGGCTCAAGGCTTGACGGTACGTGCCACCTCATCACGCCTTACGCCTTTGCTTAGTATTATTATGATTGAGCATGAGATTTGTCAAAATCTCTATATTATACTCATAAAAATTGTATTTCATAGGATTATACACATGATGGACTATAGCATCAAGAGTTTGCTGCACTTTGTAAATAACTTGAGATTTGTGGATAAATTTTGTATTGAGGTTTGGCACACACTAAACACAACTTAAATACATGTATATCTTGAATTTTAGACCCGGTATGGAGAGTTGCCTAGTGTAGTTCCCTTTAATCCTTTATATATCCCTAATTATATGGAGTTTCTAGACATGGGTGTTCCGGATCATTTTGTCCCGATCGATTGAGTAAACCCCGGATATTCAAATGAAAATCCTCATGAGAATATAAATATCAATCCTATAGAATTTTTTTGGTTCCCTAAATTTAAAGGGTGGGGTGTCCTCTTTGAGTTTGGTTCCCTAAATTTAACATCTTAATTATCATTAATGAGCTTAAATTGCTTAAGAGTATTGTACTTTTTGCACCAGGCCAATCCTTGCACATTCCCTTCTGAGTTAAG